TACCTTCGGTTTGTCCTCGCGCTCGCCGGCCGGCTTCTAAGCGACGGGAGGAGCTCGCGGCCTCAATTCTTTCTCCTCCGGCCCCCGCCCCTCAGGCGATGACGCGTTCCCCCTTCTGCCCCGCCCCTTCCGCTCCGTGGCGGGCGTTCTCAGCAGAACGCGGGCGTTTCGGCCAGAAAGCCCTTCGGCCTTAAGTCTTTCGCCTCGCCTCCCCTCCCCGTCTCATTGATGTCATCGCAGCTCCTGGCCAATCGGGTGGCCTCGCTTCCTGCCACGGTCACAAGGTTGCCAAGGCGACAGGAAAAATGGAATGTGACGCAATAGAGGCCCTTTTCCCCTTCTCTCCCTCTTTCGCGGGCGGACGAGTTCGGAGAACCCGCGAGACCACGCAAAAAGCGAATCAAGGTGGAGGGTTCGCCTGCCATCCTCTGACCATCCAGCATATTGTGTGAACGCAGCCCTTATGCAAAAGGAAAAAGGCTCGGAGGCAGGGTGGACTTCACTCTGGTTGGTGGACCTGTGCGCCTTCGTGGATTGTGTGAACCCAGCTTGTGTGCTTAATGCCCCCCCTCCCCCACTGGGTGTAGGCAGACCCAGGAACGGGCTAGTTCCTTTGCCGGGTTAAGCGTGTCCTGTGAATGCTCACTGGCAGTGGTGCAGGAGGCGGCGAATGATTGGCTGGAGGAAAAGCAGTCAGCCTGTGTGACAACCGCACAATCGAAGCAGCCATCTTGACTTTTTGGACCCCCCTTTGGATGCCTCTGAGGGGCATCGAAGCTCCTCATTATCCCATCACCTCAGGTCCTGGTGGCTTCCTTGGGAAGGTTTGCCCTCAGCTTCTGCCAGGTTCCCTTCCCAACTGCCCAGTCTCTCCCACCACCCAGGGCCTTCCTGGTGGCCCCCCTTCCCATCTGAGCTCTAGGCAGCTTCCGCCCTGCCTGGGATGGGAAATCAGCTGGCTCCCAGTTGCCACCTCAGCTGGGCTGAAACCTCCCTCAATGGAGCTCAGTGCCTGGTGGCTTTGTGGCCCTGTCCGCGGAGTTTTCTCAGCAGCAGGATCCAAGAGCTTCGAGCTTCCCAGCACAGCTCCTGGTGGTCTCCTCTCCAAGACTGAACCAGATCAGCCAAGTCACCCACTGCTGATGGAGGTAATTGTATTAACAGTTCTTCCTTTAAAGCCAATCCTTACAAATAGGAACTAGCCAAGCCAGGTCCGTCCCTCGACAAGTAGATTTGGGTGAAAATTGGGTTCTCACAGCATTTTTTATAGATATTTCTTCCACGCCTCCTAAAATTTTCACCAGCTGGGGTAACAAAACTGTCCCATTTCTCTCCTCCTCCTCTGCTGCCAACCAAGAGTTGAAAGAGGGAGGCACTTTAGGCTTGATTTTATAGGATTATGAAATTTTATGAAATACATAGGCTGCCCCAAACTGTTACAACACGGGGTACCTTACAAAACACAATAAAAATACAGTAAAAACACTGGTGATGATGAGGATGAGGATGATTTGATTTAGGAGCTGCCTCTGGGCAGGTCACAGTTAAAAAACAGAAAACAATAAACAGAAAACCCTATGCATCCAGACAACCCCACTCCATGTATGAAAACACAGCTGATACATCAAAGGTCTGGAAAAAACAATCATTTAAAAAAACAGCATCACCCCAGGAGTCTATTATCCACTCTTTTAAGGTTTAATAGGGTCAACATGGGGCCATACAATCTTGGGGGAAGAGGAAGGAACAGTGTTCCAAAGGGCAGGCACCATGACAGAAAATAACCCATAATTTGCATTACTGTATGCAAATATCATAATATATCTTGCCCAGGTTGTAGCCATCCCATAAAGATAATACCTAGTAAACATGTTTTCAGAATAATGAATTCTGCGTTTTTCTTCTGGACAGGATGAGCTGATCTTGTTTGCGCAGCCTTTGGACTTCATTTGTAATTATTTCACTGTTGTTCTGTCTCTACCATGAACGCGTACGTATATGGAAAGCAAGCCAGTGTATACACCCCCCCTCACAAGATGTTCGTGGATCAAAGAAAGTGGCCATTGGTCCTTAAAGCATCGCTTTAGATTGGTTTTACTAAACTATATTCTTTTGTTTAACATGTTGTCCGGACTTGGCCTTGGGCTTTGTAAACCATGATTATTCACGGGGGTAGGTGTTTTTTTCAGGGCTTCCCCCCCAGTTTAAATCCTACATCAGCCAAGCCACGCTATGCATCTGATGAAGTGAGCTGCAGCTCATGAAAGCTGGTGCTTTTTAATATCATGTGTTAGTTGGAAAAAATTCTTCTACTCCTTCTGATTTTTTGCCACCACAGACTAACATGAGTCTCCTCCTAGAATGCCTGTAACTAGTCAAGGCATACTTGGGTAAAAACGCAGCTACTCGCTGCCTGAACTCCTGAACAAAAGGTGAAACACAAATCGGACAAATAAATAAATGCAAACATTTGGGAGATGCCTTTGGGACAACATCAGCATGCTAGAAGTATTGCAGCCAGCTGATTCAGAAATGGGGGCAATGATGCACAATACCAACTGGAAACTGGCAGAGGTAGGAGGGAAGTTTTTTCCCACCATTTCAGTGCTTGACCTTGGCCTGCTTTCTAGAAGCAAGAGCGAAAGAAAAGCAAATGTTCCTGCTTTGCATGCAAGGGGCTTCCTCGGACGCTCTTGTTCTGCTGTCGAACCTGGCTTCCAGCCGCCCAGAAGCTGCGATGCACCATTAAGCGTTCTCCGATGTATCCTCCTCCACCCCTTCTGCTCTGGCTCGCGGCTTTAATGCTTGAACAGGGTTCCAGCAACAGGGAGGCCTGGATGTTCTCAATGGCTTTTCGTTCAGCCGTTACACAACAGGAGAAATGACGGGCAAAGCAAGCGTGTTCCTCCACACTTACTGGTGTGGCTCACCAAATATTGATCTTTTGTTTCTCAAGGGTTTTTGTCTGTTCGAGATACTCAGAACAAGGATGGCCCCAGAGCTTAGCGGGTTGTGCTGTTACGTCAGTGTTTAATCACATGCTTTTTTTTTGTGAAGAACCCACACCGTTTTAAACAATACACATACCACACTAATGAAAGTCACCCAGCCCCCTCTTTAACCCTCTATTTTGTCTTTATCTAACCATATTAAAACTGTTAAGTAGCCTTTTACATTGTAAAAGCAAACATTTTGATTTAGGTTGGTAACTTATTTTTAATGCTGATTTTTAGAGGGCTCTATTGTATCTCGTGTCAGCATTAATTTTAGCAAGGGGCAGCTAGCTCGAAGGCTTTGATTTCTTATTTTTCTATAGTTTTCAACCTTTCATATTATAAGGGATCTCTTTATGCGAAATTTATTCCTCCTTTGCTCAGAAGCCATTTTTGGGCTGTGGTGGCAATTTAATTCTGTGCTTGTGCTGTCCTTTCACCTCAAAGGTACTCCCCATCTTTTTTTTTTTTCCTTTGGCAATCAGCATATGGGTAATAAAAAGCAGAGATGAAAGGGCATCTTTTACAGTTTTAGTGCTAAATCCTCTATTCTTGCCATGCCTAAGCAGAGGTCACCTACCAATAGATCATTCCCCTGGCATTTTTAGAAAATAGAGTTCATCTTGAAGACAGAAAGCAGAAAGTCAGGAGATTCCACAGGTTGAAATCAAAGTCCCAGGGGTTAGCTTTATATTCCACCTTTGTTAAGGAGCTCTATACAAAGTACCTACTTCTTTAGTTGTAATCTTAGTTTTATTGTGACTTAGTGTGCTAGGCCAGCCCAACATATTTGGTTAATTTATTGACTGATTATCTGCCATCAGCAACCCTATGAAGCAGGCTGGGCTGAAAGGGAAGGAAATCAAAGTCCCCAGAGAGCTTCTTCCATGGCTGAGGGGAGACTCAAACCTGGGTTACCCTGTGGCCAATCCAACACCTTTTCTATGGTACCACACCGGTTAGTCCAGCTTCTTGTGTTCCACCATGGGCAAGCAATCCCCTCCCTTAACTCACATTATTTGTGTGATGACACAGTCGATGTCACTTGATCCTCTACGGTTCCCCATGCTTCCTGTTCCTCCATCCTGTTTAGACCGTGTGAGGGTTCTTGGCTTTCCAAGGACGGGCCACACCACAGCGTAGCAGGTCTGTACACAGTGCTTTGTTGCAGCACGCTCCTTCCCCAACGACAAGCTATTGCTCTCCACCCTTCTAGGCTTTGCAAGGGGATGCTGCCATGCAAATATGTCTTTAATATTCAGTCCGTTAATACTTAGTCCAAACAGAAGTCTCAAAGTCTGTAAAAGGCCATACGACCTTTGCCTTCTTCCAAAAGTTCTTGCACTAATTGGGGTGAGGTGCTATCTCAGAGTGGTTGCTCCTTTTCTAGTTGCTGTAGAGTTCCCAGCCAAGCTTCAGGCAGGAATCCCACCAGGACAGGCTGCTCACCGTGCCTTGTGGTCCTGGCAGTTGACTGACAGTTCTCTTGCCTGCCTGTAGTATCTGCCTCTACTTCCCCATTTGCTTCCTGCTTTCTTATCTCCGTTTCTCCTACACCCACACCCACTCTTAGCGTTTGTTTTTCCAAGCTAAGGGCCTGGGTGGGGTGAGGCCGCTTCTGGAAGTCTGCACGTCCTTGAAAACGCCAGGGTGCGGCTCCGTTATCATAGGTGGCCTTGAAAACGCCAGGGCAGGGCTCAATTATTACAGGTAGCTGGAACGCCGGCGGGGATGTTTGGGAGTACAGTTGTGAGTAAATGAATGCATGGGGGAAATGGGGCGGGAAGCGTTTTTGGCAGGGTGCAACTGCTTTTCCCAAGTGCAAAGAGCGATCCCAGCTTCATTCCCTCACAGATCACCTTGGTCATCTGCACATCAGCTGGGAAGACACACTAACCAGGTCAGGTGAAGCCCTCATGGCCATGTTCAAAGTTTTCTCAGCATTGTGGACTTCTCAAGGCAGCTGGGTCTTTGCATTGATTGACTGATTATGTGCCATCAAGTAAGTGTCGACTCTTACTAACCACATAGATCAGTGTTGTCCAAACTTGGCCACTTTAAGATGAGTGGACTTCAGCTCCCAGAATCCTGGGAGCTGAAGTC